GAAAGAGTGGAACAATGGAGATTTTTGTTAGACTATTCATCTTTTGACAGTTTACAATTAGCTAATCTTTCAGCTGTTTCATAGCTACTGTTTTATTGAGCTGTAAGACTGCCACATAGACACACTGGATGTATGAAAACAATAACTTAGATTATATCCTGTATTATCAAAACGGCTGCAGTCTTTACAGTTGTTTTAAGCAAGTTGTACCGTATACGGTCAGTTTTAAATTGATTATGATTTTATCTTGTGAAAAGGTTTCTCTTTGCTTTTAGTGTCACTGTTGAGATGTTCTAATTCTTTGAATTGTAAACCATCATTTTGGAAATGTAAATTGTATTTTCAGGCTTTGGTTGGTATGATTTGCAATGGAAAAAAGAGGTATTTTTTTACCATGCTTGTTAATTGCCTGATTGCTTTCATAATTAAATGTTTACTGTATATTTTATGAGGAGTAACTACTAGATTGTTTAATGCTAATTTACTGGAAAGCCCAGGTGTTGCTGCAAGTGGTTTTGGTGACTCAGCAAGTAGCACTCTTCTTTCTGAATTAATATTTAATCAGTATCCCAACACTAAGTTAAGAAATACTAAAGATGGTGATGTGTTCTGTATGTGATAGAAAACAAAGACTGAATATTTGTGATCATCAGATTCATCATAAATGTAAATGTTAGTCCTTGTGTCCAGGCTAACTTCCAATTTACATTACTTAATGATTATGTCCTGCCATACCTCTGAAGTTTTAGTTTTTTTGTTGTACTTTGTTGCTCATCATGGCAAATTGTACACCCAGTTTTGAATTAAAGGCTGTATTTCAATAGTAGGTGGAATTATTTTTATGTTTAAATTATTTTTATTAAGAAAATGATAAAGAATGGACATAATTTTGTACACAGATCAAATTGAGATCCAAACATAGAGTAAGCAGAACTTAGAATTCATAGTTAGTTATTGTGTCTAAAACGTTTATACTTTTTCTTATTGATAAGAATGTCAGGCATAAGCAGTAACATTTGAGAAGAGAAGAAAAACTGTTTTAAAATTTGCCAGCTAATTAGCAGTTTTAAAAACTAAGATCACTATGCACAGAACAAACCAGTACATGTTACTATTTACTATTTTAACGGAGAGGAAAAATATAGGAGCACAGATTAAAGTTATGTTCCAGGAAAACATTGTGGGGCAAAAATGTCCTCTTTTGGATCTCTTTTTGAGTACGGTAGAGACAGAGAAAAAAGGTATAGGACTTATTGTGCCTCTCTGATCTCCTGCTGCCAAGTCTCAGCAAAGGAGAAGGCCCTAACTTATACCCTGGACATAAGTTCTCCATGGGGTCCTGTTGTCAGTGGAGATCATAAGTATTCTCATTGTCTTTCTCCTGTATCATATGGGTGTGATGGCACCTGATACAGACATAATTATGCTGGGGGAGAGTTTTCCTGAACAGGGGAATATTTTTGCTAGCCATCTATATCTTCATCCTCATTTGTCCAAGTCAGGGATGGCCAGCCTGTGGAATCTGTGCCACGTGTGGCAAGGGCTGTCTCTAGGTTTGGGGCATGGGTCAGGGTTGCCAGCCCAAGAACATTTTTTTTTAAACCGACAATCTTCAACCTTTTTACATACAACCAAACATTTTTACTTATACATTTTTTACATAATATTACATAATTTATTTCAAATTAGTATGAGCACACACGCAGGGAATCCATAAAGAGGTCTGCCCCTCACTTCCTTGAAGGGGACATACTGCTGGGGGTTCCTGAGGAGGCTGGTGCAAAAGGAATTAGGAGTCATGTGGGCTGGCTCTGTGTGCTCCCAGAGCCTGCAGCTTCCACCTTAGCCCCTGTGTCCTGGGCTGCCCTAGAGATGCTGTAACATGTGAGGACAAGAGGAAGGATGGGGAGCAGGCAGTGACAGAGCCCAGCTCCAGGATGAGCCCTGTGGGGAATGCCCAGGCTCATGATACTCTTTGGGGAGCCTGTGCAATTGTGGGTAGGGGAACTTGGGCATGTTGCTTTGGTAGCCCCCTTTTTCTGGTGGCTCAGGTTCTGGCATCTGTCCTCTATTCTTGAAGTATCCTTACCTCCCAGGCTGTGCTGGCAGGCTCTTTGTGTCCAGCCTTTGGGGCACCCTGCTCATCTTTCTGGCTACCTCTGTGCTACCTGCTGTACTGCAGGGGGCATGTATTTCACAAGGTGTACAGGAAGGAGGGGGAACTTGAGCGCAGTATGGAGATTATCCAAGCCCTGTTCTCTGTGACTGGACACACTCCCTGCCATTCAGGTCCTGCCTAACCTGTCCCCTCCCCTGTGAGAACAAACCAGTAGAAATTCCCCTTTCCATGCATATGCTGAGACTCAAGCATTATCTCTTTGCAAAGGTCCTAGTGGACAGCAGCAGCGGGGAGCAGGGTTGCTAACCATCCATCATTTTTATGCACATTGAAATATTTTTTTTGGATAAGTGTTTTTAACTACTTTTTTATGGACTGTCCATACATTTTGACAGTGGGCAACCCTGCACGTGGCAGATCAGGGAGAGGGCAGGCAACACTGTAGCAGATAGGGCAGAAAGTAGAAAGCATAGCAGCAGATTGGGGAAGAGGGGATCAGAGTGGCACTCAGGGATAACGTGAAGCTAATTTGTGATGCTGCTGCATCTGCTGAAAAGATTTTTTTTGGTCATAGTTCTTGTCTGAAGCTGGTATCTTAGCCAATGCAATATAATCTGTTTGCTAATCACAGAGTATAAATGATTTCTGATCAAAAACAAGAGTTGTTTTCTATATGTAAATGAATA